TGAAAATACCGGTGCTGGAAAAGAGCTGCCCTGCAGAAGATGGGATGCAAGGCAGGGTTGCACCCCTCTTCCCTACAGACCCATCGCTGAGATCGAGCATGGGACATCTTACATTGAGCATGGGACATGTACATGGGTACAGCAGGTCTTGTACGCACCGCCTGCTCAGAGATGGGCAGCATGGGGAGAGCTCTCACTCCTTCTCCATGGAGGCAGGGGAGGAGAAAGCTGGTCCCCCTTACCCATTCTCCCCAAAGATGAGATACGGAGGACTAAGCTGCCAAAATGGATGGCCCTCCCCAAGATGGATGTTAGGAGAACGAAACTGTCCCCAAATCCACTCCCTGGGAAGGGGTGATGGAGAGGGCACTGCCCCCACACCTCCTGGCAGAGGGAATAAGGGGCACCCTCCCCAGGTAGGCACAGTGGGAGATACCCAGGCCCTTTAGATGGGGGATGACAATCCCAAGTAGGATACGTGGTGGGATGCCACATTTATACACCCCCAGTGTGGGCTGCCCTAGGAGATATCCTCTCAGGCAACATGCTGCCCAAACATCACGAGCGCAGGGAGGGGGTGATCATCAGATGGGGTGATGGTCTCTTCTGAGGTGCCTCTGGCAGACATGGGGGTGCAGCCCTAGAGAAGGTGCACTGGGGATACCACCAGCTCCCCCACAGAGGGTTTCACGGGGGGGGGGCAGCTTCCCCCAGAGCGAGTAGCTGGCAGGGAGGATGGGGGGCTGTCCCCAGAGGCACCACACAGGGACCACCAGCCCCAGAGAAGGTGCAGGGGTGGGGGGGGGTATCGCCACCAGCCCCCACCCGCCCAGGTGGGGTAACTGGGGGTGCGTACGCCCCTGGGGTCCATCCCGCCCTCACGACAGAGCACAAGGGGGGCACCGTCCCCGCCCCCCTCCCAAGGCAAGGCGAGGGGGGTGGAGGACGGATGTGGGTCCCCCCCATCTCGAAGGGGATCACCCCACCCCCGCGGCACTGCGGGGACCCTGCCCGGGCTGAGGGCGAGGCGAACCCCGACCCCGCAGCGGTGCGCGGGGCGGGTGTCCCCAGCCAGGCCCACCCAGCCCGCACACCCACACCCCCCTCCCAGCTCCCCGGGGAGGCCCACCCTCCACGCGTGGACACTGGGGGCTCTCCCCCCACCCCCACGCCGCAGCGGTCGGCGGGCCGGGCCCGGGTCCGCGCTCACCCGAAGTCGTCGTCCATGGACTTGAAGTAGAACTTGTAGTTGGGGCGGTTGAGGAGGCCCTTGAAGTCGCCGAGGGTGACGCGCTCGGCCGGGATCGGCAGCTTCACCAGGTACGGCGTCTCCTGCTCGTCCAGGTGGTAAATGATCTTCGTCTCGGCCGCCGCCATGGCGCCCCAGCCCGGCCGCCAGGCCTCCTCCTCCTCCGCCTCCGCCTCTCCTCCGCCGCCCCCGGCCCGCCGCGGCCCGCCACCCCCGGCCGCCGCCTCGGCCCCGGCCCCCGCCCGCGCCCCCGCCCGCCCGCGGCCTCCGCGATCCCGGTCCCCCCCCGCGCCCCTTGTTCTCCGGGTCCCAGCGCCGCCCGGCTCCACAGCGCAAACTCGGGCTCCGGCGGCTCCTCCCCCGCCCGCCCGCCCGCCCCGGCTCCGCCGGAACCGGAACCGGCGCCCCGCGGGGGCCGCGCCGCGGGACGGGCCCGTACCCCGCGTACCCGCGGCTCGGCTCAGCGGGCGCCCCGTGAGGGGAACGCTCCGGCGCAGCCTCGACCCGCACCCCGGCCGCGATCCGGGGCCGCACACCCACCGCAGCTCCCCCGCCACGCACAGCCCCACCGTCTGCAGAGGGGTTCGGGTTTTCGCTTGACACCCACGTCCCGTCCCCCCATTACACAGCCCACGCGCCCCCATTCCCAGTCCTAGCTGGCTTGCACCCAAAACCCTCGCCCGGGCTCCCCGCCCCCACTCCGCTTTCATCCCCTCTTTCCACCCACCCACGCTGGGGTCATTCCTGTGCCGCATGTGCTCCTGCATCCCACAGCCTCCGCTGCTTCTCACGGCAGGTCTCCCCCTTCCACCTCTGCAGCCCCGGTCCCTTATCACACACCTCACAGCCATCCCCACGCTCCTCGTAAAACTCCATGCCCCTCAGGTACAGCTTACAGAACGCGAGGCAGATCCTGCTCTACCCTGTCCAGACCCCTTTGAACTCCCCGTACTCTGACGGCCACCCCGCACAGGGATTCTGCTGCACAAGAGGAGCACAGTACTTCCCACCCCAGATCCTCTTCAGCTGTGGCTTCCCTCCAAACCCCTTCTCACCATCCAACAAACTATCCCTGATACTCAGACACTGGACATTGCAGTGTCCCTTCAAGTTCCCCAGCCCCATTTCCTCACCGAGCAGACTCCCTCCTCCGCTCTTCATGAGCATTCTCCTTTCCAAATACTGTGGCCTCTTCAACTATGCACATATCAGCTCCAACACACTCTTCGGCTCTGTGGTTTCTTCCCCACCCTCTCTCTCCCCAGACCCTATCACTCTTACCTATAGCCATCAGCGCTGTGACCCCAGCCCCCAGGACTTGCCCCTGTGCCGCAGCGATCTCGGGCGGGCTGGCTGGCTTCCCCTCTGGACACCTCACCAGCTCCCAAGGGGCGCTGAGGAACCGTCTCCATCAGAAGTTTCCTGGAGCCGTGGCCAAGAGCAAAGCTGGGGTGGATGGAGCTTGGGGAACACCCACCGCCTGGAAGGGCAAGAACCGCCTTGCACCGTCCTGGATTAGAAGGAACAAATGCAGAGGAAGACCTGCACGGGGCACGAGACTAGATCACCAGCCCTCAGCGCCAGACTCACCTGCTGTAGAAAGAGGAGCTACAGAGATCTTATGGGGAACAGAGCCAAGCTCCTCAGGCTGGCAGGCAAATGTGAGCTAAACAACCTCCTCATCCATGAAAGAGTGCTCTAGGCGTTGCTAGCAATTATCTGGGCAGCACTGCTAGACTGAGTGAAGAATCTGACATTAAATTTAAAATTAAAAAAAAAAAAAATATAAAGGGAAGACCTCAGGTAAGCAGAAGTTGTAAGAGGCATGAGGCTCTCCCATGTTTCCACATCAGGTCTTGGAAGATTGTAATTTCCTCATGCTTAGAGCTCTGTGGAAAGAAGAATCCAGGTCAGGAACGGAAAAGTTTAGTCTAAGATGCTTCTTATTGTGTCAACCCTGGCAGAGCTAATCTTAGTCTTTTTGCAACACCTCCCTGCCCAAAAAGCTGGGTCCCTGCGAAGGAATTACTGTCTTCCCCTGACAAGGCCACTCACTTGCCCACCTCCCAGCACATTTGTGGATGCACCTTGGAGCCTGTATCGTATGCATTAAGACATCTTTGTTTCTAAAAGTGCAATTTTCTGAAATGCTGAGCTCCCAAGAGAGCATATGCAGCCCAGAGGAGGGGTGCCATACACCCCCAGGGTGGTAGTAACCGAAATCTCATTATTAACTCTGTCTTTTCTTTTAAAACAGGCCAAGTGATTGAATAGGCTCAATCAATAGATTGACTTAACTGCTTACAGACACTTTGTGAAGTACAACTCACTCTTAATGAATGAAAGTTAATAATAGAGCCAAATAAATTAGCAGTACGGGATTGTGCTGAGAGCTCTAGGTCCGCAAGGAAGAGTTTCTGAACAGCCTGTTGGCTTATGTCTAAATTTTTAAATTGCAGCATTGAGAACATTGCTTCTCCTTACAGAGTAAACATGTTCCAGGCATTTTAGTGCATCTCGGAACAGCCCAAAGCAGAGACGGATGTACTTCAGTTCCATCACTTACACCTTTAAGCAACACAAAACTGTTATCTTTTTCTCAAAGGTGTGCTATTATTATCCGAAGTCATGGGTTTGATATAAAAACACCAGGTGATATTCATCTATCCATCGCAGATGGGAAGTATGGCCTTAGGAAAAATAAAATACTTACTGCTTGAATGGCTCAAAAAGATTGACAGCAACCATTGCACAATCAAGGTTGATCTCAAAGGCATTTCTAGTCTTCCAACCAAATATAAATCTTGACTGAAAGCAATAGAAAGCATCGAGCCCACCCTAAACTTAAGCAATGCAATTAATGCTCCTGTAAAATGCATATGCTTACCTGGCCATAAGGATGCTGCACTGTGCCAGAACTCCACCTTGGAGAATATCAAGTGTCCTACTTTGTCTCCTTTTTGCTACTCTGTTCTCAGCATCTGTAAAATCACCCCACCACACATACCACCAAGGCCTGAAGGATAGGATATTTGGCCATAAAGCAGCATTCTCCCCTTGGATTTTAAGGTCTGGGTAAGAAAGCAGCTCACACCATGAAGAAGTTGGCTACTATGAAGCAAAGGAGGAAGGAATGTGGAAAAAACAAAAGTGGAATTGTTAGCTGGCAGAAAGAATCAAAAGCCTCCGGAAAAACACAGCCATTTATAGAACTATACGTTGAACCTATTTTTTAAGCCATCTTTACATTGTAAAAGGAGAAAAATACTTAAGATGTCCAAGGAGATTTTAACATTACCAAGTCTTGCAGCTTGTTTGTAAATGGCTTTACTAAGAGCTCTAGTTTTCCCTCCCCTCTCTGCCAGTTCTTACTCCCCATCATCAGGAGAGCACGATGCAGTATCTAACAGCCAACATTCTCACTAATTCTCATCATGGCAAAGGATAACATGTTTCATAGGATTTAAGGTTCATCTGTGCAACATAATCCTGTAGAAAACCAAACCTCAACCATTTCAGGATTCTAAATTCAGAAGTTTTAATAAACTCTTCTCTACTTGTAAACAGTGATGTCATGAGTTATCACTGAACATTTACACCAATTCAATTGTGTGCTGATTGCCTACTTGCCTATCATATGCTTAAAATCTCTTGAGGAAAAAGTAGCAATGAGTTATTTAGCTTACCCAGTAAGGCCCGCTCAGGCATGTGCCACAACTGGAGACATACAATTCAAACAAAGCAAACAAGCTGGTAACACCAGGATAGTTTTTATTTGCTCCCTGAATTAAATATTGGCAGATACAGAAAATTCAGATACCAACTATTTCCCCAACATTTACAAGACTGAGTTTGCAATGTCAGAAAACAAGCACATTTATGCACAATCCTGGCAACTGATAGTGTGAGTGCACAAGATTGCCCTGCCTGAACATTAGTTTTTAAGAGGCGGTATTCCTGGTCTCCAGCATCCAACGCTGATCTCTCACTGACAATTGTGGCACCACGGAACAGCCAAATATCCTGAGTGGGCACCTCCAGTGCATTTCTCCCCACAAAGGACTTATTCCATGCTCCTCCTGAAGGGGCAGAGGCAAGGTCAGCACTTCTGACAAATAACCCACGTATGAATACAAGCTGATTCTTGCTGTGCCTTTTTTGCTGTTCTTTGAGAGCAAGGAAGAACACAGCACAGCAACACTTCCAAGAAAGCTCTTCTTAAAGGCTTCATTGCTGCCACACATTGTCTGTGCTGGCAACAAAGTGCCAGAGGCACGCCTGTTCCCTGTTGCATGCCGAGCTGCTCTGCGGCTGCTGAGCTTTACTGTGGGTTTGCAGCACTTTCCCCGCTGTCTGAGGGAAGTTTTCAAATAAAAGAACATGAAGTAAGCAAGCTTGTGTAACTGAAGTCATGTGGAAACACAAAGCACGTGCTGTTGAAGGAAATACCATTCACTCCTTTTTGCAGTGGCGTGGAACTTAGGAAAGTGTGTCCTCCTTACAGCAGCTGGTGCAGTCATTGCCCCCACAGCAAAATCCAAGTGTAGTTGGTGCAGTAGGAGGAGCCAGGCACCCCTGCTCCCTTTTTTATATATATAAAAAAAAAAAAGTAAAGAAACAGACACTTTTCTAAAACATGTCTGCTAAGCTGGGGACGCACAGATCACACCTTAGCTGTAGTGATCCATACAGCATTTTACTGGCCAGTGCACATGCACCATTAGCCAACCCCCGCAGGGGGAACCGAGCAATTATCCCCTGTTCTACAGAAGGGGGAAACACATGGTTTTATCAACTCTATTGTTCAACCTTGTGTTAGATCCTAGCACGGCAGATGGCAAGAGATTTTTCCCTTTTGGAAAGATCACAGAAGTGCCTTCTAGGCTGCAAAATGCCTTGGGCATCCTCAGACAACTGCATCTTCTCCAGGCACAGGTACTCTTGAATCCCAGTTCTGCACTCCAGATACTTATCCACATGCTCCTACTCACAAACCTTGCCAGTGTCTCTTCAGCAGGAGTTCTCTTGGCTCCGGAAGCAACAATGACTCCAAATAACTTAGCTGTATGACCATTCTTCCACAACCCTGATGGTTAGATTTGTAAGGGTGTTGTATGCATTTGCATCTATTTGCTCCCTTTGTATTAGTAACAAGGACCTCCCAAAAGATAGCTTACAGTATAGCATATCCAGGCTCCAGAGGGATTCTGTTAGGCATCACCACCTCCTGTTTTTCCCTTAGGGTTTTTACACTGGGCTGCAACCATCCAACATAAGGTGCCAATGGGCAAGTGAGGAAGAGGGAGGGAAGTGGCAAAGTTGGGAACACACAACTTAATTAATGATAGGATTGTCAGTCACTTCGATGTCAGGCCCCACATCTACACATCATGCACTGGCATTGATCTTGCCCTGCCCACTCGGCCGAGAAAGGCAGTGAGAGTGCCTCTTCTCATGTCAAGCCACCATGTCAGTCTTGGTCGCCGTCAGACGACTCTTCCTCTGCCTCCTCCAGCCACTGGATAAACTTCTGGAGCTGCACAGAGATTGAAATGTCATCGGGTAACAAGTGACACCAAACAGATGCAGGGAACGCTCAACAACTACACTGTGTCAGTGGGCACCACTGTCATGCACAAGCAAGAGAAAGAGTGTTTCTAGGAGACACAGGAACAGAAGCAGATTGAAGGAGAGACAGGCAAAAGTTTAGATGAAAAACAACTGGGGTGCCATGGACAAACCCAGACTGATTACATTCCTGAGGGAGATTCCTCCAGTCAGACAACCCACACACACTCAGCAAAAAGACAAAAGTTTGAGAGTTTTTCAGAGCTTGAGTGAGAAGAGCTGACAGCTGCACCTTAGCTAAGACGTGTTAGGAAAACTCTGCTGGGAAAAAACTACTTCCTGAGAAATTGCTATAAAGAAGGCAGCTTATTTTAACTGGGTTCAACTAAGCAGCTGAAAGCACTGCTGACCTATACTAAGAGCTGACTTTGCAAAGGTTTTGAACAAAATTGGAGTTCTTCAGAGATGGCTTTTTTCCCTTGCTCCTCTTCCAGATCCAGGGAGGAGGACTGGAACAGGGCTCAGCTAAACTGCAGCACAAAGTTCTGCCTGATGGAGGGGAGAAGTTTATATGCTCCTTGCAACACAAGCCAAATGAAACCACTCTGTACAGCAAACGCTTAGAAATATATGCGAAGGGACTGGTGAGCCAGGAATGAAAGCTTCAAAGGAATTGCATGGGGCCAGCACACAGGGCATTGGCCTAAAGCCCATTTCAAATGGGTGTTGGCTTGGAGAAGCTGTGCTGCTACTCCAGAAAGTGCTGGCCTCATGCTATAGAGAGCCCACTAAAAACAATCTCCCTCTCCTACCTCCATTCCTCATCCAAACAGGATGATTATGGCAGAACATACAGAAGTATCTGTTCTGGTGAACAACGCTGTGTTGCTCAGTGTTCAGTGCACTGCTGCATTACTGGCCTACCTCGCAATGGCAGCTGCTCCACAGAAGGCAACAGTGGCGCTGAACTCCACTCAAAGTTTCTTTTAGCAGCTGCTCTCTCTCTCTCTCTCTCTCCCCGCCTCACCCCCCTCTTTAAACACCTTTGGGACTTACCCGCTGGTTTTTACGAAGCTGCTTTCCCTTGTCAGATGTGTCCCGCAGAGAGAACCAATTGAGAATTACATCTTCTTCCAGAATTTCCAGCTGGTAAAATGTCATCAACACCTGCATCAATTAGAAAAGAGTAACAGGGCTCTCCATAAACTCTTTTGGGGCTAGCTCACATCCAAGCACAAAGTTTGCACATAATGCGTGTCTCCCAGCTCCACTTCATTTTGCTTTTATTGTTAAAAATAACTGTGCTTCTCCTACCAAGCCTTATGTTCCCGATAATTAGATGTTATAATACATAATGAGTCAAAGTTCAAGCCCCATCAGCTTCAGCTCTGTGGATGCAGGGTATGACTGAGAGCTTGGGGCAACAAAGGGCCACAGAGGATGTCAGTTCAAGACATTAATTAAGTTGTCTTTTTAAAGCATCCCAAAACCCATCCCCAAAGCAGATTCAACAAGCAACTGTTACGCAGGCCCACATAGGCACAATGATGACATGCAGAGAAGAGCATGAATCTATCCAGTTCTGTCCCAGGCTCCCTCCTCCTGTGAGTTTTCCCTTAAAAGTGCCTTATGGCAGGTGTCAAAGCAATTGGTCATTCATCAGCTCAAACTCCTGCCCAGTGCAGCGAGGGTAAGATGCACTCATGCTTTCTCAGGGTGCCTTTGTGCTCAGGCAGAGCAGGCACTTTGCAGTCGGTCTCCTTGCGGCAGAGCACTAACAAAGCTGGCTGCCAGCTCCTAATATAAAGTGTCATTTCAATTCCCAGCCTCCAGGGAAGCCCAGGCCCCTAGAACAATGGACACATGCCAAACAATTGCTGTAATTCAAGGACATTTTGGCTCACCAAACTGAAGGCTTTTGGCTCCAGTCCTAAGTGCTTCGCCATTAGCCAAAAGCACTGGTAGCAGAAGTTAGGATTACTCTTTCTTGAGGAACCAAGAGTTAGGCAGGCTCTAGGAGAGCTCTTCCAAAAGAGACAGGGGCTTCCTGAGACACTGCTAAAAGAAAGACTTGCGATCCAAGTCAAATGCTCTCAGTGTAATGGGGCAGAAAGAATGCAGGGACAAAAGGTGAAGGAAGGTGAGGAGGAATACACTGAATACTCTCAAAAGTGGAGAGATAGGTGATAAACCACACATCAGCTCCCCTGTATTCCCAGTCTCATAACTGGCTCAGCCTGAATAAGAAATCCCACTCTTATTCCCAGCTTTGTTTTGTACTCTGAAGTAGGATAAACCATTTGGCAGTTAGAACTCTGGGAGCATGGAGAGACAAATGAAGTAAAGCAGCTCCTACATCAAGAGTCTTGCCTCGCCTCTTCCAGCATCACACAACAAGGGCATCTAGGTTAGAAGCTGCAAAATAATAGCTCCCTTCAGGCTGCATGCTGGTAATTAATACTCACCCTCAGCTGTGCTCCCTCTGAGGCACAGGGGCAGGCATAGAACTTCCTTTTTTTTTTTTTTTTTTTTTTTTTTTTTAAATCAATTGTTATAGATAGATTTTCTATATACCCTCTCCACTGAGATCCCAAAATTTTCTCCTCTGATGCAGATAAGCCAATGAATCAATGAGGTTGCATCTGACCACAAATCTAGCAAAAACAGGTCCTCAGAGTTGGGTTTGGATACTTACTTTAGCTATCGACGTGCATAGACTGTCATGTTCCAGGAAGAATTCCTCAATGGCAAATAAGGCATTCAAGTGATCTGACGCCCGTTTTATGTAGTTCTTAAACAACGGGGTCCAATTTTTCAACAGCTGCAGGGGAAAAACACACAAGAGTTCCTGAGCTACGAGATGGACGTGTGTACTCAGCCCTGTTTCTCAGCTGTGTTGCACTAAGAAACTGACCCAGAGAAGCATTTTAAGAAACCATTCAGCTGATCACTTAATATATTTGCCCCCCTTTGTCCATAAAACAGATGCTATTAAGTCTATCATGTGCAGATAGGACCTGGTTTTACTAAGCAGCTTTGGGGATATCTGTTAGCTTTCCTGGTTTTGTCTCTCTGGATGGAGTACTAGATTATCACAATAAACATGTTTAATGGAGTCTGGTACTCAGAGAAAATCACTTCACAGCAGACCTATAAGGAGAGGTATATCCATGCTACTCAAACTTTCCCCCCAACAAAGCAGCTGACATTTCAGTGGAACTTTCCTTCAATGTAGAAGAGCAAGTAAGAAAAAGGATAAGAAGATAGTGCCAGGATAATTACTAGTTGAGTAGAAATGGCCAGTGCAAAATAACCACCCCTAAGACAGGAATGCAGTGGAGCAGCCCCTGAGTATAAGTCACACGTTTACTGTGTGCCTACAGGCTTGTTTGGATCCTGGAGTCTTCTGCAAGGAATGGGTGGGAAGGATGAAGGTCAAATAGTTTTTACACTATTAGCTGATCTCAGTTCTCTCCTCCAAGGCTTACTTTTTATGAAGTCTTCAGTTTAATGATTTTGATGCTGCCTCTTCAAACAGTATTTCTGCCCTAGTCACCTCACAGCTCTTTCACTTGTACGTATTTGGAAAGCAAGCAGCAGGGAAAGCTCTGCAAAGTAGCACAGGCTGAACTGAATCTGGGACAGAAGGTAATAAAGATACTTAGACCCTTGTCCATAACAATTTAAAAAGGTACCAGAACTAGGGTAAGCTACAAAAATTCCTCATTGGCCACATCATGACCAGACCATCCTACAAAAACACTGTAGGAAATTAAATCAGAGTTCCACATCTTTTTTAAACGTATTATTCCAACAGCAGGCATTCCTGCAACTACATCCCTGGCGTGCCTGTATAGACATAATGTTTTGCTATGCTTTCAACAGTGTCTCCTTACAGAACACATCTGGTCCACTTTGATGGGAAACAGGTAATTCACAGGTGCTTGGGGTTTGATGAAGCATCTCTGAGTCACCTGTCTTCAGGGTTAATGAGCATTATTCTGTCCAGGACAACTGTTAAGAGGCAGTAGCCCTGCCAGAGGCAGAGCTCCAGGACACAGAGCGGAGTTAGAACCCAGGCTAGCGGAGGCCTACTGAAGGTAGCCTGTACCAAGAAATAGTGCTCAACTACTCCATACACACTACACTCCATCACATCTTCAGACACATTTGCTATGCAACCATGCTGAAATTTGCATGCCTCACAGAGAAACAAAGAAGGGGATTAGTACAAACAAACTGATCTGTACAATAGTACATCGACTGGCTCAAGGAACAACACTAACAGCACAGAATGATTCGAATCATCACGGTATCACAACAAAAAACTGAGGGTTGCACAGCATATTTCCAGAAAGTATTTTAGCCTTTAGCAGAGTACTTAGTTCTAAACACTCTTCCTTCCTCTACAATCATCTCCTGCATTTTTATTATCCTTTAGAATTCTCCACTTCAAATGTAGTAAAGCTACTAGTAAGTTCCTTCCAGGCTAAGAAATATTTTGTAATAGCTTTCTGTTAACACCTTTAAATCATAAGCAGGTACAATTCTAACCACAGTCTGTTGAGTTTCTAGAAGCAACTTATTTATAAAGAAAGCAGAGTTAGAAACACTCACAAGCCCAGGACTCAGTCCAGTATGCCTTTTGCTGGGAAATGGAAAGATTAAAAAAAATATACCCTTTCAGGTCAAGAACATGCACTGTGCTGTATCTCATGCTAATGGGGAAAGTAGGACTCAGCCCCACAGAGCCCCCAGCAAAATCACACCTATGAGCCTGTATGACCAGATTGGCTGTTTTGGGAGTTTCATGAAAATCTGAATGGACGAATTAGAAGCTTGCAATTATTTTAGATTGAATAAAAGACTAAAAAATGTGAAAATCTACCTGACAAAGAACCCTATAGACAACATCAAAACTTTCCAGGATTTGACTCTACCCACGTAACACCTCAAAACAATCTACGGTCTGGAGAAAGGAATCAAATTCTTCTGATGGGTTGATTTATTTTTTGTCAGATCTGGTCAGTGATGCTATATCAACTTCAAAGAGGTTTGTGATCCACTTTTCTTTTGTCAGAAGGACAGTCTTGACACCAGGCCTGTTTTAACGCTACCTCTGGCACAGAACACCATCATGAAGTACGTGCAAAGGATGAGAGACAAAGTTGTAATTCTAACCTGTTACACCATAACAGCATCTGTGCTGATCGCCATAAATTGCTTCAGTGAAAGCAGAGATCCATTTAGTCCCTGAATATGTGATCCCATGTTTGCTTGCACGACATTTCAGAAGAGTAAAGCTCCCTAACAGAAACCTGAAGAGGTGCACCACACATGCTAGCTGCTGGGCAGCAGTGCAGATAGCAGTTCAGTTTGCTGAACTGGCCTGTATATTGCCTCTCCTCAGCTCCCTTTCGACATCCTCACCTACATAACCTTGTTTGATGCTGCTTCAGGGACAGCAGAAGCACAGCCTTCAATTTATCAGCAGCTTCAGCAACGTTTGCTCAAATCACGTCTACAGTTCTAAGAAAGGTCTGGTTTTCTGTACCATCTCTGATTTACAACTTGTACAAGAGCCAAACAAGATGCCTGATATACACTGAAATGGACAATTCTATTTCTCAAGCCTCCATGTTTCATCTGAAAAATACCCACGGGCATATGCTTTACTGGATGTTTGTTTAACAAAATTGCTGCAACACTTAAGAGCGTCACGCACAGGGGCCAGCAATTCAGAGCACATACTGTGGTTTCAGGACAAACCATACATCATAACTCTGGCATTTCCACAATTTCCCCTCCTGAGCTGCCTGGGACCACTCTACCATCACTCTTACACAAGCAACCCATCTTGCCTCAGCATCTTTTAGGCAGACTTGAGCTACAGAGGCAGTGAGAAACATAAAACAGTTCTGTAGAGTTCAGTTGGCTTCTGATATTCACCACTCCCTGAACACAAGCATCCCCATCTCATATATTCTCTGTTGGAAAGTAACACAAATTGCTACATTTTACATGTGTAAATGCCTGCTTTAGCCAACACAGAAAATATTACATGCTTATGTTATGCACTAACCAATATCAAGCTAATGCTTAGGATTCTCAGGGTGTAAGTATTAGTAAATTAATGGAGTGTACTTTTTACTAACTATGGAACCATAAATTGCAGAAAAGCCACTGTTTCAGATACTTTACAAACAGGCATATTCTGCCCAAAGAATTGGTCTCTTCAGAGCTCTGTTGGTAAATACACAAACCTGCTGCCCAGGAAGACCATCGACGTCTGTTTGATAAGCCTTTGAAGGCTGATTCACTACCTCCACACCTCAACTCAAACATATTGGCTTACTGTAATGGTGACTAACACCGTATGTGTGATTGAACCTCAACAGTGTACCCCACCAGGATACTGCCTTCCTGCTGATTTCAGTCCTGAAAGCTAGCACAACAATTCTGCACAGTATAAAGACACAGAGGCACAAAACTGCCCCAGAGAAGGATTCTCTAAGAAGCTTCCTCGTTGTTCTTTACAAAGGAGCATCTGGGGAAACTGGCTGCCATGATGGTCAGTTTGACACATCACTCTCTTTGATAAATCCAAGAATAATTTGTGTTTCATAAATGCACATGCCGCACAATTCCCTGCCCAGAGAAATTCCACTTGTCTGTGACACGAGGCATGGTCGCCCTGAATATTACATTTAGATATTATCGCTTCTCACTAAAGGTGAGCTGATTTTCTATCTCTTCTGTTCATCACGAGCATTATCTTTCCTATGATGAAATATATATGGACAAAGTTACCCAGACGTAAGCTCTTCATGTACTTCCATTGTCTTCAGCTTCTAAAGGGTTTTGGGCAATTATGCAAAACATTATGCATTTATATAGTATAGAATCATAGAATGGTTTGGGTTGGAAGGGACCTTAAAGATCATCTAGTTTCAACCCCGCTGCAGTGGGCAGGGACACCTTCCACTCAATCAGGTCGCTCAAAGCCCCGTCCAACCTGGCCTTGAACCCTTCCATCCAGGGAGGGGGCAGCCACAGCTTCTCTGGGCAACCTGTGCCAGTGTCTCGCTACCCTCACAGGAAAGAATTTCTTCCTTACATCTAATCTAAATCTTCCCTCTTTCAGCTTAAAACCATTACCCTTCATCCCATCACTACACTCCCTGATAAAGTGTCCCTCCCATCTTTCCTGTAGACTCTCTTAAGTATTGGAAGGCAACTCTGAAGTGTCCCTGAAGCCTTCTTTTCTCTTCTCCAGGCTGAACAACCCCAACTCTCTCAGCCTGTCCTCATAAGGACGGTGCTTCAGCCCCTGATCATCTTCATGGCCTCCTTTGGATGTGATTAAGCACGGCCATGCCCTTCTGATGTTGGGGCCCCAGAGCTGGGCACAGCACTGCAGGGGGGGGTCTCACGAGAGCAGAGGAGAGGGGGAGAATCCCCTTCCTCAAGCTGCTGGCCACACTTCTCTTGATGCAGCCCAGGACATGGTTGGCTTTCTGGGCTGCAAGCACACACTGCCAAATCATGCTGAACTTGTCAACCAACACAGAGTCCTTTGCCACAAGGCTGCTCTCACTCCACTCATCATCCAGCCTCTATTTGTGCCTGGGATCCTTTATCCAAGACTAGAACCTCTTTTGACTGAGTGCTGCAGTGAAGTTCTCCTGTCCTACTCATGCTAGATTAGGAGCCCTATCTGTGAGACAGAAAGAGATGCCATATCCTAGCTGAGGAAAAATTTAAAAAATCCTACATAGCTACCAACTCCTGTTGTCTAGATGTACTGATTTCCACCTAGTCCAACACCTGCTCTAACATTCTCTTCAGTCCTCCTCCTTCAATTCTCCTTTTCCAGGACAGGACATGCTATTCAAGAAAACAGTCTGGAAAAATTAACAAAAGCAAGCAGAATTTAAACGGAGTGAACAGCAAAATGTCACTAAGCCATATGATGAACAGACCAGTTCACATGGATGTTTCCTACAGAAGGCATTTCCACATGTACAGGAGATGAATTAAGTGCCATGCTTACACCTACGTAAAGAAGAATTAGTTTTCTACCCTTCACCATCAACTGAAAGCACATACTTCCTCAGAGAAAGGATTATGAGGATGTCTAGTGTTCCTCTTTAGCTCCACCTTCTAAAAAAAAATAATAGAACTAGTCCTTCACAAACGTGTCAAACCCATTCATTCTGAAAGATCACCTTTGTAACCTGTAGAGTTTGCAAACTCAAATACATAAATGGGTTACATCAAAGAGACAAAAATATTACAGCGGCTTCAGCTTGGATCAACATAACCAATAAGACTGCCTGCTTTTTAAAGCAGATCCTACCCTATTTTGTCTCCCTTATATCAGGAAATAGAAATCGCTCTCACCCAGTTACACATCCCGTCTCTTTAGAGACACAACAGAACTCTATCTTTGCCCAAAGACAACAATATCGTGTCTTTGCATTTGGCTGGAAAAAAAAAAAACTGGCACCAATTACAGTATGCAGACAAGTAAGACCTTGGAAAGTATCCCACTGGGAGAGGAGCGCTCCCTGCTGCCCCAGGGACAGGGCTTATCATGGTTTGGAACCGGGTTCCTGAAATGCAAGCCTGCAAAGACATCTCTATCAGTCCCTCTCTTTTCCCTTCTACATGTGATGTGCTTCTACCACACACAGGAAACAAAAACAATGATAGGTACTGAAGCAGAGCTCCCTACACCTACAGTCTTAGCTGAGTTCTGTCCAGCAAGTACAATAGTTTCAGTTCACTTTTACTTCTATAGAAGACAACGAGGCTCATGAATTCAAGGAGTTCAAGTGGCTTCAGGCTTAACCAAAAAGACTTCTTAGCCAGGAACCACCAGGGGCATCCAGACTTCTACACACCCAAAGAAGAGTCAAATGAAGCAGGACTTACAGGAAGTAATGCTGAGAAGTAGTTCTGGGAGTCTAGGTTTGCATCCAGCTGCTGCAGTGGGAACTCCAGGATCACTTTACTGAGCACCTGCATCATCTCATTCAGGCCAATGTTATATGCATACCTGCAAGAAAAAAGGCAAAAACCCCCCAACATTTCACACTACTTGATCTCTGCAGACTGTGGCTCTTCACAGAGGTAAAGCAGAAACTTGGATTTTCATCTTCCAGACTTGTTTTTTATTTGGTTGGCTGGTTGGTTTTCCAAATATTCAGGCAATCAAACCACCTCGCATTGCATCAGACCCTGCATAAGGCCACAAGTCCTGAAAATCTGCTATCACAGAGGAACAAGTTGCTACAGGGAAAGCACCCTCATATTTACTACAGTGCTGTAGGAATACTGTTGCACAAAAGAAGGGAAACAGGTTTGTATTTGAGAAATACTAGGTAAAAGGCACTCTGATTATGCATTCTAGACTCGCTGCTGTAAAAACAGAGTGGACAAGCCACACCACAGCACAGCCCCAGCTGCAGGCAGCTGACTGAATGCTGCAATGCACAGAGCAGCAGCCCCTGCATGAACTTACAGTCTGCGCCAAAAACTGGCTTGCTCTCTTCAGTCCACAGTTACTTAATAGCAATTCAATATCTTCTTGTAGAATTGAGGCAGGAAAAGCCTACCCACTGAGGATGCTATACACGCAGCTGGTGCTCTCCACCACCTCCTGCTGTCATTCAGTCATGATCTCTAATTTGCATCTCCCACGCTCTATACTCATAAAATTAACATTTAACAACCCAACATGGGTTTTTACATGGTCTATCTTCTTCTTTCTAGATCTGCTGTCAAACCCAACTGTTGAGCATAAGGGACAGTATCCCTAAGGGAACACTCACTTCAGGGAGTTGATTTCCAGGACGAGGTTGTCACAGGAAATGTTTTCTTCTTCACCCCTCTGTAACGTTCCCAGAACCTCATTCTGGAAAACTAATGAAAGAAAGGACAGGTAGTTAGACATGAGAGGAAAAGCACAGATTCTTCCAACTGTTCATTACTGAAGAAATTATGCCCTTAACAAAGGAAGCATTCTGACAGATGTCTATTTGTTCTCCGTAAGCTGGCACAAACTCACATCAACTATACTTATAAATAGTGGAATATAATTCAAATAAAAGGAGACAACCTACTAGCTATCATTGATCTATCCACACAAACCAGTACAAATCTAACTACCTCTGCAACTCTTTAGAACAGAGTTTCTATTATAATTTCACAATCTAGCCTTTCCTATTCAGACAAACCCCATCTTCCCCTAACTAAAGATGCGAATTGAAATCTAAATTTTATTGGTTTAATTTCCTTTGGGGAGATCCTTTAATGTGAAAAAGGTGCTTTCCCCCCCCCCCCCCCAATTTGGCTTGAACCCCTTTCAAATACAGTTAATCTTAACACAACAAAACAGAAAACCAAATCATATCTGCCAAAAGAGGCAGCTCCTACAAGGACATTCAATTCTCCAGCACAATTACAGCAGTAAGCTGTCCACTGAGGGAAACTCTGCTGGACCTTCACACAATCCGTGAGTTTAGGCAATGACACTGCCATTTGAACAGACAACTCAGGGAAGTCACTTTCATGAAGGCCCAGTGATCAGGAGTGAGAAAGATGGAGGATCCTTCTCTAGCTTCTCATCCTTGTCTGCCTTGGGTTAACACAACAGCAATACAGGGAATATTAAAGAACTCTGTAGAAAATGCAGGAAGTGAGGTCAGGAAACAAACATTATAGACAGCCATAAATTTTCCAATATACCTATAGAAAACAGCACAGATCTCACACTCACTGCATTCTCTGCAGACTCACCATACTTCTTAACAGCCCATCTCTCACCTTTGATGTCATCTAGCTGAGGGGACGCTGCCCGACTGTCTGGCTCCTCAGAGCCCATGCTCAGGTCGCTGTCTGACTCGCTCTCTTCCTCTGAATGCATAGCTGGGCCTGATGAAGAAGAGAAGACACTGCATTCAACTCTCAAAATTTCCAGCTGTTGTATGCATGAGAAACCAGGTGTCCCAGGGACTTCCCAACCATGTCAGCAACTATCTGTCCTTGCACGGAAGCTTCTGCTTACAGGTCTAGATGATTAGATTTGCTGCAGAATGAATGATACAGCTGGTACTAGGATAATGGGACTTTTTAAGAGCCTGCAGGCAGACAACAAAGGACAGGGGCAGAAGCAAATGCATTTTGTGCAGACTGCTGACTCATGAGGGAGCAATGTCAGCAGACACTGTCACTAGCAGGAAGAAAGCCAGCAGTACCCGGAATAGCCAAAGCATATTCCCTCTAAGGAAGGGCCTGGTATCCCATAGTGCACCATTCACAGCACAGACAGTTGTGTGTGTGTTAGCATAAGTCAAAAATACAATAAATATCTTCCACAGAGCACAGGAAGAGACAATCTGGTCCACCATCTGCTTTCTCCTCTCACCTTGCCTCCACACGCGTTATGTGGATTCAGTCTGCTTCACAAAGCCTAGCTCTTACTCTAGACACAATTATCAGCACCCCACTCAGCCAGCTTCCTCGATACGTCTGTCTGTCCATCCCCAGGTGACTACACTAAACTTCTCCTCACCCCATAAGCTTTGTCTCTGCTCTTCTTCATCCTCTTCATTCTTGTCATCTGCTTTCCAGAGATAGCCTCTGCCCTCTGAGCCTACGTCCTTTTTATTGTAACCTGAAAAAGAAACAGTGATTAGGAGGTATATGTCCTGGATCTGCTTAAAGAGATATCTGAAATAGACTGGTATAACCTGCATACTACTGCCCCTAAATATCGTTCATCAAGAGGGAGCTAGGATTCCCGCAGATGCATACGGATTTCAGCTTTTATCTTCTCACTTGCCTTGACAAGTGACCAACTTACTCCTCCCTACAGCAGCAACGTTCAGCTGACCGTGTTTAGATCTCTTGACAAATACAGACTGGTAGAAACAGTATTTCACAAGGACAAAGACCCTGGACATAATCCAGGTACAAGGATATAGATCTTGCAACCTGCCTTGAACTGAACATCTCTTCCAGCTTCAGTTTATTGTCTCCTACAAGGCTACTACTTTAAGAAAAATGGAACATATCCAAGTCGACAAAGATTTTATTACTGGGGCACTGCGGTACATCTCACTGTCCAACTTGAGCTGGATACCCTTGCTTGCCCTACTGAAAACACACATGTTCCAAGCTGAACGCCACACTAAGCTCCAGCCTGTCACCATAGAGTCTATAATGGGGGAGGGAAAGATGCCAAAAGGTCATGGAAGGCAAAGCCCCCTGCATAGCCTGAGCGCATGGAGCCAAAGACTCTCATACCTTTCAGTTTCACTTTGCTTTCCTCCTTGTTCACACCAGAATCATCACTGAACTGGTCATCATCCTCTTCCTCCTCATCTGGTGGGTGCAGAGAGATCACTGTGCCCTCAGAAAGAGTGATGCCAGGACCTACTACTACCTGCAAATACATGCAACATATCTTAATGAAGAAATACCCTGATTGCCCGCCTTGCGCCTCCACCAGCAGGGACAACAGCTGCTCCAGACAAGCTGTATACTAAAAAGTGTAACTGAAGACATCAGCACTACTAGATCACATACCACGCTACCCTAGCCAAACAAAAGGAAGAAAAAGGTGGGAGCAGTAGCATATCCCCCCACCTCTGCAAAAAGGTTTGGAGCAGCCCTGTGTTCTGGTACAGTCTAGTGTAAGTCTAGTAACCTAACAAGAAAGGCAGAAAGCAGAACAGACATAAATACAGCTCACCTGAGAAGAGAGGACACAGTGGGGCTTTAGCTTTACTTTCTCCTTCACTTCAGCTTCATCACAGATAACAGAATGGCAGATCTCCACGTTATCTGCTATGTGGACTTTGTCCCAGAGAAAAGCTCCGTCCAAAATGACTTTATCACCTGTTATACATCACCAAGCACAAATACATTGAGCAAGGCAGTTTGCTGCTCTTCCACACTGCTGAGTCCACTAGAAAGCATCTTACTGAATCCCAGTGCCCTTGAGGCATGAGGGATGTTAGATGAAAGGTAAAAATTGACCTTAGAGGCCCATGGCCACTTCTTACCCAAAGCTAAAAGGTAAGTTTGCTCGCTGCAGAGAGACCTAACAAGTTGACACTAACAACACAACTGACATCTTGGTTTTGAACTAATATAGACAAATCACAAAAAATCCAGCCAAGACTAGGAAGGAGGAATACCAGGCAGCTCACAGAAACAGGGACACATGTCTCTCATTTGCAGGATGTTCGTCAGTGATAACTCTAGATCAGTAAAGGTCATTCATTCTCTACTGCTAAAACAACTTATTAGCATGAAGTGCCTTCCACCTTTCAGTATCGTTACGATACCCTGAAAACTTTAATCTATTTTCTTTGCTAGAAAACCAAGCTTTTCTTTTTTCTTCCCATTAGAAGTTAATCAGTGCGCACTTATCATCCTCTCTCAGAGTCAAATGCGCTTTAAAAACTAAATCCCAACAACCTGTGCCCTTGCCTGGCAAGGCCAGCATGTCCCCCATTCTTTACTCACCTATCCTACAGTTCTGCCCAATAATGCTGTTTGTTATAGAGCAGTTGCTGCCGATGACAGTTCCCTGCCCAATGAGCACATTCTCTTCCAACACGCTGCCATGGCCGAGGCTAACATCCACCCCTCGGTAAATGTTGTGTTTAGAATGGGTGTAACTCTGATTCTTGTCATCGGTGAAGTTCATCTCTGGAGTCAGAGGATAAACCCAACGCCGGATGATGTCAGAGCACACAGCTTCATACATTAGCAGGTTGCATATATGGGCGCCGTACTCTTCTGTCGTTACGTGCATATGGATCTGGTTCCCCAGGACCTGGGAGATAGGCAGGAGCACATCAGAGGATTTTCTAATGCAAGGTAATAGGATTTCCCCCATAACAACCCTCTCCTTACCTCCTCATTCACCAACAGACCACGCACAAAGTCATCCCGTGTCTGGTAGTCAAAATTGTCTGTGAACAGCTCAGCCACCTGCCAGGAATAAAACATAAGGAAATAATATAGTTAGCAGAAAATGTTGCCAGGGAAGCCAGATAATTAGTGGCTGTTCAGTGGTTCTCAGAGAGCCGAATTATACAGCACAGGAAACTGATGCTCTTGCCTTGAATTCCTTTGATTCCTTCTGCTAAGGCTGTTGACCTTCCCATCTCCTCCTAATGGAGGCTATGAACAGATTCTGGTTTTACAGAAGAGGCAAAACATTGCTTTAGCATTTCCAAGCAATCTGTCCAGCCTCACTTTGTAGTCTGACTCCCAAAGGAAGGCTGTAGACTATCTTTTTCAGATGTGGAAGAGATGCTAGTGAGCCTAGGCTGGAATAGCCCTAAAAATTACCCTAACATGGTGCCAGCTTGCAAGTACCAACCCTTTTCCATAGCATAGCCGTCACCACTGCTCCACAGATGTTACTACACTCAAAGTGAAATTGCTTATTTTCCAGAATAGTTTCATCCTGTGACAAATCAGCCAGTCTACCGATGCATCCACTGTCTAGTTTGGCTCAAGCAGTGGATGCCAGATACAGACTGAGCACCCATACCGTCCACGGAGCAGCGCGACATGATCACTCAGCCTCTCAGCGTAGTCACTGAGCACAACTGGGAATACTGGTTTCCAAACTTCGTACACTCAGGCCACATGCACACCCCTGCACACCAGCTGGACAAAGGGAGCAATGCAGATTGAATTTTGGACCATTAGAAGGGCAGAGCTCACCTGTGGAGAGCAGATGCTGATATGACAATCCAGCAAGTCATGGCGCACCTCAACGTTCTCAATAGAGTTCTGGAACAGACTCTGAAAGAGGAAAAAATTCAGATGATTTCAGTGTCTCATGCAGTACTGAACCCCAAAAGCGTTCTGTAAGCCAGGGGCAGTATTGACTGAATTATTAAACCAGCTGAAGTTCTGAAAATTAGAGAAATCTACACTGAGACACAAGCATAGCAGGTGCAGCCTGGTCACACGCAGAGCTGTGCGTCAATCAGCAAAGACTGCACCCGTCCTTACACAGTGCAGTGCTCTGAAAAACAGCGTGTACTTCAAACAATCACTTCTCCTCCAGGAGGCTCCTTACCTCAGTCGCTGGGGCTACAAACATACAAAGAACATTAATCAATCAAAATGCAATATTCACAGCTTCCATACCCCCTGTGTATTTTTACAGCTGTGGGTTGTTTTTTTTGTTGCTGTTGAGTTTTGTTTTCTTTTTTCCTTTTTGGTTTCCTACAGTGATTTGTGTTTTCATTTGAAGGTAAAAAATAATCTACTGATTACTGATCTAGGGATGAAAATGCCATATAATCACAGTCTTAGTTCTGAGTTGAAAAAAGAAAAAGGTCCATCTATCTCACTGGGGAAAGTGCCTCCACAGACATTCACAGAGCATATACTACATTATTAGGTAAACAGTACAGGCAGAGGTAATAGGAGGTACCACCCCATGCACCTGCTGCTATTCCACCCTCCATACCAGGCTCAGTGACGCTTCAAAACGGTTTGTGTATGATAATGGTATATACATCCCAATTTGGGAACCCCTGCAACAGCAGAAATCATCCACCTATCTTGTTTCACATAGAGGAAAGGAATCAAATACATGCGAAAACTGAACTATGAGAAATATGTCTGCCCCATTTTCAAACTCTGAAATGAGTCCCAAACATGTGTGTCCCAGCACAAGTTCACCAAGCCTAAAATAAAGGTTAAAGGAAAAAAAAGCCAGTTTACCAAGAGTTACTTCCTATCATCTGCTCCTCCAAAAGAAGCAGCAAGCAGAGTTCCCCAGCTCTCACTCAAGGAGGACCTCCTCCTTGGCATGGGCTGCTTCACTACTGCAGCCCTTTTCCACCTGTGAGGTTCCACACGCACCATAGGAAAGCGGAAGCGTTTCAGCCCCTGGGTTCTCTGGTAGTGAAGAACACGGTTTGTGGCACTGTCCATAGCAATAACAATGTCATCCTCTTTGCACCTGGCATGGTGACCAGGTGAGGACTCCTTGAATATCATCGTCATCACAGAAACATTCTTTTCCATCTTACGACGCAACCTGAAAAAGAAGGGCGGAACTTCAAAATCACTCTTCAGAGTTCGAGCCCAGAGTCTCAGCATACCAGTCAAGCATACACTCTTTCAACACCTACTTGTGCTCTTCCAGGGCTTTGGATATATTGAAATTGGACACCACATCTCCAGTGACGAGAATGAAGTCGGAACGAACGAGGGACTTGGCATCAACATCTCGTAGCACGTCACCAAGGGAGCGGTACAGGTCTGAAGTCACAAAGCGCACGGTGTTGGGAGAGGTGTGGCGGCACCACTTGGATTTTCTGGAAGGAGAAAAACACATCAGGAAGGCATAAAGTGGACATTCCTATAGAAAACACACTAGGGCACGCCGCCCCAGTGCACACCACATCTGTAAGTGAACACAAGGAGAATCCCATTACGCGCCCGCTGTCAAAAGGCTTAGGTGTGCTCACTGGCACACAGCGGATGAACTGAAGAGGGTTAGAGTTTGAGACCACAGCTTATGGAAACCCGACTCCACTGTGAGCCAAATTTTGACAAAGGAAAAGAAGCTACAGACAACCCAAACATTTTTTCTTGGAAAGCAGCACCTCAGGCAGGGAAAAGACTGCATGCTTCTCTTTAGCTTGCAAACCTGCAGCATGCAGAGCCGAATGTGCTGAGCGAGCTGTTTCCATACACTGCATGGCATACCAAGACAGGGCAGAACGCAAACGGTGGTACTCTGATTTATGTGGCTACCCACAGGAAACCCCTGCTTTTAGACATTAAGTTAAATGCCAACATAAATGCAATCCCAAAACACTCAATGCTTTTAATACACTGCACAACCAGGCTCCTTCACAGAAGGAATCATCTTTTTTTAAGACATGCTAGGAGACAACTGTTGAAAGGGAATCTCTTGCACAGAGTTTTCATCAGAAGGATCAGTGACATCTCTGAAGTTTGTTGGAGGACAGAATAATCTTTTGTGTGATACAGCTAAAAAGAAGAGATTCTTACTGTAAATGCTCTTTTATCTCAGCTGACTTCCAACAGCAGAAAACAAAGGTTTCTTCCACTCCAGTTGCTGTTAGGAACTCCAAGGTATAGTCAATCATGGCCACGTTTGCCATAGGTAAGAGAGCCTAAAAAAAAAACCCAAAACGAAAAAACATATAGATAGCTGAACAAACACTCTGTACCTCAACTTCAGCAACAGCCTCTTCTATTTTGAGCATATATGATTGTCAGTAGTATCAGAAAAATAACACGAATAACTGCTCCACACCTTTTATCAAAAATTTTTAGAGTCAATCTAAACAGTAAGAGCTAATTTCTCATCTTCTATAGGGGCAGATCCTCAGTTCAGAGAGGAAGGCATAAAAAAAAGCAAAGTTATCACACACAACTCTCTTCAAAAAGACTCAGCTAAATGAGACTGAAAAAAAAGAAAACATCCCAGAGTGCTGATTCCCTGACTCAGGCTGTAACTGCTTCAAGAAAAACCTGTCAGACATGAATGATGAAGCCACAGGAATATGGGTGTCCAGAATTAAACAACAGAAAAAAAAAACCAAACCAATTTAAAGTAAAGCGAGTATTCTCTTGACTTGCAATTCAAGCCACACTTTTACACTGAGTTACTGATTCACAGTGGAGTGATCGCATACTATTCTTTAATTAACTTTTGGTGCTGTTTTGTTTCAGACCTGAGCTCGCGTGTATAATTATGACCACCACATTTAATCAGCAAATGAGGCAAGATAGTTGTTCAGACCTAAATTCTCCAGAAGCGTTCTTTCCTTTAACGCACAGCCTTCTGATCTGGATAATTTAAGTGCTTTCCCCATCCATTTTTCTGGCCGTATCCTTTTAGACATTACTGCTGGCAAGGACGTGGACTTTGTTTCTTTAACAGAAACAAGCCTGCCCAAACCCACTGCCGCTCCTGCATCCCCAACAGACGAAAAGCAAACAGCGCACTTTGCCTCACCATATGGAAAAGCAAACGGCACCAACGCAGCAACGAGATCCCCGCTGCTTCTCCGGTGGGGGATATAAACTCTTACAACCGAAGAGGGCTGGCCAGAGGCTCCCGCAGCGCGGGGGAGGACGAGGGAACCCTCGCCGGCGGCGTCTGCCCGAGCCCCGGGGCGCGGCAGCGGCCCAGGAGCTGCCGGGGGGGTCCCGCTTTCTCCCGACCCAGCCCGGGGCTCTCACGGCGGGACACGCCGCGACTCTGGGCCCGACCACCGCTGCCAGCGAGCGCTCCGTCTTTCGCCGGAGGCCAGCCCGCCGGGGAGAGGCCGGGACCGGCACCCCGGAACAGGCGGCAGCAGGCGGGGGAGGGGTCGGGGGAATTAGGGGTGTTTCTCACCCGCGGCCGGTCTTTGGAGATTGGGAAGAAGCGGCGGTTGAAGCTGTCGGCGACCAGCACGGCCTGGAGCGGCGGCGGCGGCTCCTCCTGCGGCTCGGGCCCGCGGGCCGACCCGGCGCCAGCCCCGCGCCTCGCCGCGCCGCGGGCCGCCATCTTTCTGGCGCTGCCTCGGCGCGCCGCCTTCCGCTTCCGGGGCCGCGCCGGGGAAGCGGCGACGGCGGCTCGGCGGGGCCAGAAGAGCCCCGGGGGCGGCAGCGGCGGCGGCGGCTCAGCCCCGGGGAGCGGGGCCGGCCGCGGTGGGGGCGCTTCGGCAGCGCCCGGGGGGTGAGGGCAGGCGGGCAGGGCAGCTCCGGGAGGGATTCCGGAGGTGTGTCCCCCCGCCCCCCACAGCTTTTCTCCCCCTCCGGCAGCACCTGCGTGGAGAAGATCCGCCATTGCCCAGCGGGTCTCCCGCAGGCAAAGCGCCCGCGCCTCGGGAGCGTTTTCACCGACATCCCCTGAGAAGGGAGAGGGGCGAGGGCAGAGCACAGCCGGGACCCAGCGGAGGCGAGGGGAAGGCCTGAATTTCCCTCCCGCAGATGTTTCCCAGATGGCCGCGGGGGTGCGTGTAGTATCTTGATGCAATCCTGGGGATTTCCCCTTTAGGGAAAAAGTGGCATTTTCCTGATGCGCTTCCTAGCCGTGGTGTGCTTGCGCCGCGTTTCCAGGTGTCCAGCCACTGGCTCTGCCCAAGCCTTCTTGTGAGCCAGCCCTTCAGCACTCGCCTGCCATCAAAGAGTGACCCCCAAAACCCACAGGCCCCGAGGGACCTCTTAGAGCCCACCCAGATACAGTTCCAGAGAGTAAAGAAGACATGGTTTCTGGGGTGGGAGCGGCATTTGTCTTCCCCCCCCCCCCCCAGCTTGGCGATGCAGCCCCAGTTTGGGTGCTGCAGGTGATGGTGTCTGGCTGTGCTCTCTGCTCAAACACGGTCAGTTGTGCGTCCTGATCCCCGCGGCCACCCTGGCTGGGCTCAGCCCTCATACAGGTCTGGGGGTCCCTCCTAATCTCCTTCGATATTGTCCTGGCCCTCAGAAGGTGTCCACCCACGTACAGTCCTTGGTACAGAAAGCATGCATTCGTCTGAATCCCTCCTCTGCCAGCTCTCTGCTGCCAGTCACAGTGCTGCTGCCTGCTCGTTTTTCAGCGAGAGAAAACTCCGTGATAACCCCTGTGTTCAAAACCGGGAAAACAGGCTGAGATATTTCCCCAGGCAGGTCCCAGCAGGCTGGCAGCAGGAGGGCCCTCACCAGCGCCGGGTGCTGCAGGACCTGGTGACTGCTGCCCTGTCACACTTCTGCCCTTCTCCACGTGGGACAGACATTCACAGCCCCTGCTCGGTCACCTCACCAGCCTCTTTTGGATTCTTGTTGTCCCTTGCTCCCCATAAACTGACCCACTGTGACGCCCTGCTCTGGTCCTTGCTGCTCTCATCCACTGGCAACTCTGCATCACCCCACTGACTGAGCAGCCAGAGACTCAAGGAGCTGATGCCCAGTTCAACTGTGATCTGAGAAAGAAACACAGGGCACCCGCACCCTGGCCTCGGAAGCAGGGCCCTTCCCCAGGGTGCAAGGTGGCACACACTTAGCCCCAGGCACACAGTATGGCCTTTCCGTCCCGATGATGGGAGAAATTAAATGAGGCACAACACAGTCATAGACCTACAGTACCATCCCAGTGTCACAGGCAGCCTGTGCAGCCCCCGTGGCAGTGCTGGGTTGTGAGTGGGAGAAGAGTATAATATGCAACATGCAGCATCCTTTTTAATCGGTTGAATTGCAGGTTCAGGACCCACTTAGTAGAAAACAACTCTCCTCTGTCTCCTGAAGGACTCTGCAGCATTGGGTAATCCCTGAAATTTTCCTTACCAGTTAAAATGTTCAGGCATCGCTTAGGTGGTGCCATCTGCACGCAGTAACTTGTGACTGAGCCCTTGCTGTGCCGCACCTTGTGGCTGAGTTGCTTGACCTTATCTAGTGGTTTGGAAAACAGCAGCAAGGATGGACACAGTGAGAAAATAGAAATGAGCTGCCCTAGGGAAATAAATCATGCCCATCCTTTTCAAAAATAGGTATCCGCATACCCTTGGGAATCCTGTTGCCTCGGCAAAGAAGCTAACCCCGGAACAAAAGCTCCCAGATGGTTTCAGCCCAGGGGTTACAGCTTGAGGAATGATCCAAGAGGTGGATTTGTCATTGCCCGAGGGCAGGACAGCATCTTCCTTCCTGCTTATGTAGCACTAAGTGCATAAACAGCACCAGAAATCAGGTCTGATCCAGCCTGTACAGCCACTGCCCATGTTGAGACTGGGCACACAGAGCTTGACAGGAGAATCAGCAGATTATCTGGATAATTACATCCTGTTCTTTCTAAATGAGGTGAGTTTCCAAGACATTGCCCTGGTAAATTGGCAGGAGCGGGGGAAGACACGTCAAGGTAATTGCTAATGAAATGAACTCAAAATCAGCCTGATAAATATTTCTCAGGCTTTGCAGAAACATTTCCCTTTGGTTTCACTGGGGACTTGCAGGCCAGTAGCACCCAGGCCAAACATTTTTCTGAAAGCAATTTAGGGGAGCTGGGTACCACGCACGTATGCCAAGCTGAGCAGGTTTCCCATGGGTGGCACAGGTCTCCCTGGAGGGACAAGGGACAGCAGAAGTGCCCCACTACTTAGAGAAGGGACATTCACGTGACAGTCTGTCTGCCACTGACCAGCCCTGCCTGGAGCTCAGGAACCTGAAATCAGAGGAAAGGCAGGGAAAGCACAGCTAAATCCCAGAGTAAACTTCTCTCTAATTTACTTCTTCCCCAGGGCTCTTCCTGGTCCCAGGCTCTCCCCTCACAGACACAGACTGGGCTGTAGGCTATATTGCTCCCGATATCTTAGCTGAGTTTCCATCCCTTTACAAGCCTTGTTCCAGTTTCTCCCCCTTACAATGGTTGTGCTCTCTCCCCACAGCCTCAGCAAGCAACAGCTAGTTCCAGACTCGTTAGGTAGCTCTTGGATAAAATCTGTGTGATGGGATGCATCTTTCAGGACACTGCTTTTTCCATCATCTCTCACCAGCTGCTCTCCTGAGGAGAAACACCAGCCCCTGAGCGATGGTGCTCACATCCAGCTAACAGACATGGTGTCGCCCAGGTACCACGGTGCAGATGCAGGGGCATGAGTGTGCTGCTCTTCTGCTATCGCTGCTCATGCTCTGGCTCCATCCTTTGCTGATTCATCTCTCTGGTCACCCTCAGAGACTGATGAAGCTTTAGGCATGGCAGGCGCAGGCTCCTCAGTCAGCTCAGCAAGGACACCCTGCCTGGGGGTCAGCAGCCATCTGAGCTTGGCGTATGCTCCAGCCAGGGGGGACGGCATCCCCTGGAGGCAGCCACCCTGCATGACCCCAGAAGCCACTCAAGTCTGAAGAGCAAAACACTTTTCCCATCGGGGACAGTGCTGGAGCAGTCATGAGAACCAGTGCTCCCAGTCACGCGGGGAGCTGCCTGAGCATAAACACCCAGGAGGTCACTCTCTCCCTGGGAAATGCTCATAAGTCTGCAGACTAATACTTCCTCTGCCCTTTCCATGTTCCTTATTCACATATAACTTTTTGCACCGCTGCTACACTGGTAACACCTCCTTCTCTAAGGTCCCTGGCCTTCAAAGTCTACGTTAGTCCAGGGTTTAACCACAGCTTTGCGCTCCCGTTTGGCTCTGTATTGAGCCATGTGAAATGAGGTGGCAGCCTGTGAGCAGATACTTTTTCCCAGTTCAGTGGTGGACAAGGCAGGAGGTAGCAGAGCTGCCTCCTGTTTTCCCAGCTAACCCTTTTCCAGCTTTGATCCACGCGGATTCCTGTAGCAGAAGGAGCTAGGAACAGCCCTTCCCAAGCAAGTATGTAAGGGTAGCCCAGAGAGGCTCCCACTTCAGTAATAAATAGTGTCTGCTAGGAAGTGATCCGTGAGCTGAGCCAGAGAGAAAAAGATGCCTCCTTTGGAAAGACAAAGGGATGAGTAAAATGTGGAGCTGGGTAACTGCAACCTGAGACTGTGGGGATGGGCAGGGAAATGCTGTGCTGCAGAGGGGTACAGGGGCAGGACCTGGTGTCACCTGCATCATGAGAAGGGAACCCACAGTGCCAAGTCAGGGCTGCCAGGGGCAAGGAGGGAATTCCCTGGCTCTGAACAGCCAGGGAACATACCCAGACGGATGGCCAGGCACTCTCTGACCCAGGGCCTCATTTCGAGAGCTCTCTAGCTGGCTCCAGCCCATCCCTCGGCTCCCTCCCACCCAGGGGCCTTATGCCACTGACACAGAGCAGCCACCAGCAGGAACTGTTGCTCTGTTCCTGCTCCCTTGCTTCGAGATGGGGCTGATCCCTCCTCTTGTGCAAGGGCAGAGGACAGGGTTATTCCTCATCCCTTATCTTGTCCAGGGGAGGAAAAGGGCTCTTGCAGCATCCCCTACCGGAGCAGTCCCAGCCCTGCCTGGGGGAGATGCTGAAGGAGTTGTCCATCCCGATGCTTTCTCCCTGCTGCCAGCACCAGATGCATCATTTCAGGAAGCAGGCAGCCCTGCTTCCCACCGCCTGATCTGCCAGAAGCAAGGGGGAGCTTTGATCAAGGCACAGCTATCTGGGCTCTGATCACTGCCCTTCCTTTCAGAGGAGAGGGCACATTGTCTTTAACCCTTCCTTCCCTGTGAGCCTAGATCTCCACAGGAAAGGCACATTTATCAGAGCTGTCAGTCCAAGGGGCTTCACATTTCCAGGGATGGCTGGGAACTGAGTGATACCCTAGCTGTGGCATTTCAAGGATCCATTCAGTTGCTCGTGCACCCAGAGTTTTGTTTTAGAAGAGCTTTATGTTGTGGCTGCCTTAACATCTAATTAATAGAGATAGAAAAGCGAAATTTTCTCAGGGGAACTCATCAGCCCCCTTCCATCACATCAAAGCCAGTAAGAGATCACGTTATCTTGACAGATGTTGTACACTACAGATCTGGTTACTGAACTTATGTTTCCCATGGACCTATTCCAACACTTCTCTTAATTTGTCATGGGTATATTTCAAACTGCATTATGCACATGGTTGCAGAAAAGTAGAAGGAAGTAGCTGATTAATGA